GGATACGCCATTAAACCACCAAAACACCTGAAACAAAAGTATAGTCCGAACAATAGACTGCACGGGGAGATTGGCTAAAAAATATCATGCTTCAGCAAAACAACGCGTTGTCTTACTTCTCATATGTTACCAAGACAAATATCCACGATTTAAGGTTTGAACTGCTTCACAATCCGCTTTACTTTATATTATTTATTAATCCGCTTACCAGATATGGCTCCAAGCGACTTTTTGCTCCTTCTTTAAAAAATTGCAATTGAAGGGCATAGATTTTTGTCAAATGAAGAGGCAATCACTTTTGTGCAGAAAAAAAAGCCGAGTACTATTAAGATTACAGAGAGAAGAGCCCCCATCTATAATACTCGTCAGAAAGCTTAATTATTAGGAACCTCTTAAATTTTTTTTTCTTTTTCTTATTTGAAAATGTTTTAAATATGTGATTCTTTTATTCTTTAATTTCAAAAAGTGAACTACTGATTTAAACTTTAAATCGCTAAATCTGTTTAAAAAAGAAATCCTACCTGTGCAAGATATATAATATATATATATATATATATATATATATATATATATATATATATATATATATATATATATATATATATATATATATATATATATATATATATATATATATATATATATATATATATATATATATATTTGTATAGATTTCGATATATAGAATATATTCGAGGTTAAGTATTTTGATGTAATAATACGAAGACTCTTGTACGTGTTACAGTGCTCAATATTACTGAATAATAGAGCTATATATAATTATATTTAGATAAATAAAAACAACTGATTAAAGTTTCATGCCCGAAGGCAATTATCGGCCGTTAATACAAACAAAAAACGCAAACAAACCGTTACAAAAACGTAAAAATTACTGTAGAATGACATCTGACGTTATAAACAAATCTACGTAAAAAACAAATCAAAAACACAAAAAACAAAAAGCCGTTATAGTTTATTATAGTCCCCTGTGTCAAATAAAGATAAGAGGAATTTTTTTGAATGTCGACACTGAGATACGATTTCGTTTTTTTATTCAGTAGGTTTTTTCCATTATGTGATAAAATAACATATTTTTCGTAGAGACAAAGGTGGCATATTTTTGTTGCTAGATTGTAAGGTTTACAACGTTTGACAATTTTCCATTCTATAATGGGCTTTATGTTTTGGTCTTTTAAGTTCCATACCTCCTTAGATAGTTCTGTGTCATTTCTATATTTAACTGATGCAAATGATTTGAGATGGTTTGCGTATCTTAGTTTAAATGATGTATTACTAATGCCAAAATATACTTTTTTATTACAATCATGATGACTGGAACTTACGGTTGCTTGATAGACAATATTGTTAGATAAACATTGATTGTTCAAAGGGCAAAATGCCTTATCTACGCAGTTACATTGGTTGGTTTTTAATTGATTTTTGTTGTGTAAAATTTTGAAATTATGCGAATTTATGATGGATTTTAAGTTAGGCATGCAACTGTAGCTAATTTTAATGGAATTTCGGTTGAATATTTTATGTAGCTTGTGGCAGCTGGAAAATGTAAACCAATAAAGACTAGAAAACGGTTTCCTATTTTTGTTTTGACGTTTAAACTTTACGGAGGGTTATACCAAATAATATTACGTTTACGTTGCTTTTTTTTGTTGATTTTGACTTGAGATTATTTGTGATTGGTAGGTAAGGTTCGATTTGTATCCCGATTTTTTTAAAGCCTCTTCATACGGTGGAATAGCCTTTTTGAAGAATATTTCATTACTTGACATGGAAGCGTTTATTTCTATTTTTTTATATACCTCGTGGTTGGTTAAAATTTGTTTTCCTTCTTTGTTTATATGGTCTTTTAATTTTGGATTTGCTTTTTTGTAGGTAGTGGTAATAGCATTTGTTAACAGATTATTATAATCTTCTTTAGACAGTTTATACATATTTGATGTTTTGTCAGCATGTGTTTGGGTTTTGTGAGATTTACGTATAGTTTTGATATCTTTTTTCATACCATTTTGAAAAAAAAAATTCATTTTTTCAAATTTAGGCTCCCAAAAATTTTAGAGAACCTTTTTTTTTTTTTAAGTCATTTTTAGGCTCTAGCTTATGAAAAAGCCTTCAAAAAAAAAAAAAAAAAAAATAGCCCCGGGCCCCAAGAAGTCTTAATCCGCCACTGATTGGTGAATATTTCAAAAAAATGTTGTTCAGTATTTAGCTTAATCAAAGCGTATTATACAATTCTTATTATGCTTTATAATACAAAATAAATCTAGGGCCGACGTTCTCCTTCTTTTTAAGCATAATAATTTGTTCTGTGAGTTTTCAGTCTCAATGATTTCTAATTAAAAAAATTTTTCACTTCTTTTAAAGCTTTTTCGTAACCGTGCAGGCTGCTACAGTACAGGCAGCTATCTATATTCATAACGTACATAACCATACGTAACCGTACAGGCATCTACCTATATTCATCTGCATTGTATATTTGTCAGTTAATTAATGGTTTTCCCATCTGTCAAAAATGAATCTACAAATGTTGAGTAGTGAGTCTCCTCTTTGTATAAGAATAAATGTAAAAACAGCTAGTTTTGCACGGGTTTTTCATCTTACCCTAATTAATTAACTTATGCATTTTCTGAAACTTCACCTTAGGAAATACTCCAGATTTTTCAAAAAGCGGAATACCGGAGTGAAATGGTTACAAATGGTTCGGTAATTATTATCATCACGCCCTTATGCTCTTTCAGTAATCGTTTTGTTTTCTTTCTTAAAATTCTTCCTGAGCTGTTCGTGCATCTTTACAATTTCTGCCATAAAAGGATAAATGATATTGGGCAACATAATGTTTCCTTGAAGTTCTTCATCAATTACTACGTAAAAAAGACTTAGTCAAAAGTATGATATTAATAACTAATTAATTGTGGTTCCTCAGTTTTTTTATTCATCAATCTAAAACATCAATCCCATCTAAAGATAACTGTTAAAAATTGTTAGTGCTTTGCTGGTTGATAACTTTGAAGATGTTGCAAATTTGTTTGGAGTATTGGTTATAAAAGTTAAAATTCTGACTAAAGATCTTAGTTTGCCAACTTAAAAAGATGTTTGGTATAGAGAGTAGAGGGTATAGTTTCCTTTAATGCACACACATGCATAGGGCCCGCAGAATTTTTTGATGTTCCAGACACTTTCACAATATTTTTATGTTTGGAGCTTGTGCAAGATCCAAACTTAAGTATGCGAAATGTAAGTCTAGGTAAAATGTGTAAAAGTCTCCTTTCTAGAACATCAAAAAATCCTTCAGGCACCTATGCGCACATGCCATCCCTTATATACTGGCCCTGAGTAAGGCGTATTTCAGGCAATCTATATTTTGAGTCGACAAAAAACAGGTTTTCACAGTGGCGAGGCTATTAGGTCAGAGGCCCCCCCCCCAAAAAAAAAATGCGTATCGTTTAGGTCTCAAAATCTCCCAAACTTTATCGCTAGGTTTTGTTAAAATAAAAACCTCCTTAAATTAGCAAAAATGAACAAAATTTGCTGCCCTCCTTCTCCCACCACAAATTGAGGGGTACGTGTAGCCTACCTTCGGAACTGGGTTTTAGGCTTTGTTTTCGATATTACTGATCTCGCATAGGACTCGCTTTTTACGGACTTACAAAAGAGGGGTGCCTGAAAAAAACATCCACCTTAAGTATGGTTTATTTTTATTTTACTCGTCATTAAAACAAAGAAAAGCACATTATGGCTCAACCGGAAAACGAACACCGGTCTCCGTCGCCGCAGTTCACAGCATCAACCTCTCGGCCAAGCGAATACATTCAAAATGTGAAACTTAACTTAAATTTAATATTAGCATATATATTTGAAGATGTTTTATAAATTGGGATCCTGTGATATATATATATATATATATATATATATATATATATATATATATATATATATATATATATATATATATATATATATATATATATATATATATATATATATATATATATATATATATATATATATATAACTAGATTTTTGCTTAATTATATATAAAGTCTATTAAGAAGAAAAACTACTTTTAATGTTATCAGCGTTTTTTATATGTTGTTTAATTTACAAATAAGTAGTTATCAACTTTTTTACAGTTATGAATACTCCAATGATCAAACATGTAATTTTCAATATAAATCGTTAATTTATGTAACAACATTTAATTAACATTTAATATTAAGAAAGTAGTAATATATTTAGAATTCATGCATATATTTATGCACACGCCGCTCTATACAAAAAACAGATTTTGAACAGTGGCACAAATACTATTAAAGTAGCATTACAGCCTATATTGTAAAAATGTTTTTTAAATTTTATTTATGTTAATAAAAAAAAACAAAATATATTATGGCCCAAAAGAATTTGTTTATAGGTAGTTAGAATAAAAAAAAAATAAAAATCAACAGATTAGAGGACAAACTATTTAGTCAACATGGTACTTAATTAAATAATTATTTTATGTTATTTTTTTTTTAAAAAAGTTTGCCACTTATTTTGATTCTTTTTCTCTCACTATACATAATTAAACGTTTTTGAAAAATACAACAATTTACATATTTTTTAAAAAATACAAAATATTACACGTTTTTAAAAAATAAAACAAGTTACTTGTTTTTAAAAATACAACAAATTACACGTTGTTTCAGAAAAATTCTAAATCTAATAAGAAATAAAAAGTAATAGATCCTTATAAAAAATCTTAAAGCTAAGTTTGATAAAGTAATTTTTAATCGGTAACGTAGTTTTTAACCGGTTTAATTATATTAAAAAATGCAATAGTAATAAAATTGAGAAATAATATTTTGAAAAAAAAAACGCTTACTTTTCCCATTATAAACGGGGAAAAATAAACTAGTTAAATTTTAATAATAATTAAAATAATAAGAAGATCAAGCTAAATTAATTAAAAGTAAAACAAAAAATAATTTTTCAGAAATTAAGCTTACGAAAAAAACTAATCAAATACACAAATAAAACTATTTACAAACAAAGTAAATTTGAGTTGTTTCATGGTCAGAAGCAGATCCGCGGGATGTTGCATGCAAAAAATTCTTCACCAATTTTGTATTTTTTAATTAAGCACGATCCACAAACCCAATACTTGCAACAAAAAACTTCACACTGATACCAAATGTTTTATTGATTTGGCAATGCTTTTCCCACAACTCTGCAACACTTTTTGAACTTCTTGATGTCTTTGTCTTGTCTCGGTTTTTTTGAACGTTGCTTTTGTTAAGTTTCATCTAAAGATTCACTTGAAACTACACTTGACTGAACTCCAACTTGCGTTTCTTTAATTTCTTTGACTTTTTGACCACATTGTCTTGCTTTAGTTTCTCAAGCACCACAAGCCTTCAATTCTCTGAAAGTTAAGACTTTTGAGTATATTTTTGTGTGTCAGTATGGTGGCACTGTAAAACATTTTTGATATTATCTTCGAGACTTACTGTGAGGAGTTGTAACATTGAGCAGAAGTCACTGGTGATGTTGTTAAATTTTGAAGTTGGGAAATTGTTGGATTTTAATGATGATGTAGGCTGGGATGAGAAGAATAAAGCAGGCTCGGTTGAAGGTGATGAAGCAGGCTGGAATATAAAAGATGAAACAGGCCGAGATTGTAATTGAAATATTTGAGCAACTTTTAGTATTGATTGATCAACTTTGCTAATATTCAGGGAAACAAACCAGTATTTTCAAATTCAGCAATTGCTTTTATTTGTATAAAATCGGAGCTAAAAGCCTTCCTTGTAGAAAAATGAAACTTTCTTTTGTTAAACTGTTGATATTCGTAGCTGCAAAAAATTTTGTAAGTACTTTGAGCCAAACTTTTTTAACGTGACACCTACGTCCAACGGTTGTACCATGTGTGAGGATGAAGCCAAAAACATTTCAATCTAATGTTATTGTCAATGCAAATACGTGCAACATAAAGGTAACATGTGTGACATGTCCATCCAAGACTTAAATGTGAATAATTGTAATTGAAAAAACTATTAGATTAAATGGTTAATTGATTAAACTACTCAACTTAAGTAGACGAAGCTAACTACCTGGATATAATATGATTGCCGTAATAAATTGTTTTTTTCCCGTCCAACACAATTTGGGTCTTATAAATAAAATCTTAACAATATTTATAAAAAAAATCTTAACAATATTTGATGGTCCACCTACAAACCATTCTTTGTACTGCTGTGATATTGATTTGTAAACTACTGATAGCGTTGACACAATTACTGACTGTATAATTAGATTTTTAGTTGTTGCCAAAAATTTTTAAAGGGCGTTTTGTTCTTAGTCTGCAAATTATTCCAGACAGCAAGAATATACTGGTCCGATAATGGTTAGCATATGCCAGCAAATTCTTTAAAGGCACTATAAAGTTTAGGATTGCCAGTTCTGGGAAGCCTTAACAGGGCCATTGCCAAGCCTTTATATAAATGCCTGAGCTGGATAGCCGCAAAAAAACCATTCCAACAAAGATTTGCAGAAGCAAAACAACAGACATTGGACTGATAATGACCCCATAGTGGTATTTTATTAAAGTTAAAACTGATGCAAGAACTAAAGAAGACAATAACCTTACAAACTGAAGCAAAAATTTATTACGAATCATGTTGACAATTGGATATGAATCGTAGAAAAGCACCACAATAGTAGAAAAGCACCACAATCGTAGAAAAGCAATCGTAGAAAAGTGTATTATAAATGCGTAAATATATTTTAAAAATTAAGCCTGTTTTTCAAATTTATTTATAATAATTAAAATTGTCAATAATCATATGTTTAAACATTATATTTCCCATAAACTAATAAAAATAAGCCAATTTTAAAATAAAAAATTACACTTGATTATGCTTAAAACTACTTTAAATAATTAAAATGTCTAAAAGGAAAATATGTGGACTTCAAATAGGATTGCCCAATAAAAATCCATAACATTTACATGTTATGGATTTTCATCGTGACCCTGTTAGTTTACAAAGATAAAATCACGATAGTACGGTAAAGTACGATGGTATGAAAAATTGGTTAATCGTTGTTCTGCCAATTCTTGTCCCGCACTGGCTAGCCGCTGCTTTGCCATCGCTGGCTATCCACGGCTGTTTCATGAAAAATCGTTAGAGCAAAACGGAGCTTTGCCAGCGTTGGCAGTCAAAGCCGGTCCAGCGCGGCAGCCTATATAGGTCTAGTACGGGACCATTATATCCTTGCTATCTGGGTATCTAATTCTAGTGTTATAAACCTTTTCATAAATGATTGTCTGGAAAAATAAAAAAGCAATTCTAAAAAAATTCGTCGGAACATCAAACGTAAAATTTCTCTAAAGTTTTATTTTAAACCAAAAATTTAAAATTTGTACTAAAATTAAAGCTAAATTCTAAATTCTAAAGTTTTATTTTAAACCAAAAATTTAAAATTTAAAGTATGTCTTTATCAAAGTTTACTATTTGTAAACTTTGATAAAGACATATTTAATGTCTTTATCAAAGTTTTTAAAATTGAATGTTTTAGCTTTTGAAACCATCATATAAATAACAACAAAAAAATTTTCAATTTTGGCCATCTTGCATCTTTCTGTGCAAGGTGGGTAATATTTTAGCCTAAGTGACAAGCGCTTCTAATAATGACATGCTGCATAAAATATTTAGCAAAGTATAAACTTTATGCTACATGTCATTATTATAGCAAACTCTTAATAAATCTTTAACCATATAGGTAATATTATGTACAGCTTTTAACCAAATAGGTTAAATTTTTAACCAAGTTGGTAAAATTAGGTACAGCTTTATGCCAAGTATAAAACCCGTCATTTATATCCACAACAAATACATTATAAATAAAAATACACAGCTAATCTAGTAAACTGCAGCTGCCTTAAATAAAATCCCTGTCCTTTATGCAAAAAATGTTTTAAAAATAAGATTGTATATTTGATAAGCGACTGCGACCTGTGCAAGCAGTAATTCCTCTCCTAATAAAATATTTTCCATTTACATAAGTTAGACAATTTTTAGGCGGAGATAAATCAAAATAAATCTTTTAATATTAAAATACAAAAATGATAATAAAAATTCAAAACAGATATGGAAGTTGAAAGAAACTAATGTAAATCGAATAGTTTAGTATTCTCAGACGTTGTAAAACAACAACCTTATAAGTAAATTATGTCTCACAACAAAATATGAAATTTTTACTTAGAATATCCGTTTATTACTCTTATAAAACCACAATGAAATCTCAAAAATCCTATATTTATCACGGATGCTTTAAATTCTAATCCTAAATTATAATAACCAAAATTTTTAAAGTGATTTTTAGTTTGAAAAAAATAGGATTCAAACTAATCTAAATCTTTGATTTACCAACGAGTTGCTAATCTAATGAGTTGCTAATCGTTGTTATGCAAAGCACACAAAGTTTGGATGGAAAAATTTTATTTGAAAAAAATTTCTCGATAAAAGTTTAAAAACTTATAAAAAAACCAAAATTAGTACCTGATGCAAAATACATCACTCAAAATTAAAATAAGATTAAAATTAGATTACACAACCATGATTATTGATCAAATCTTAAAAATAGAGCACGGATTAGAAACAATGACCTCCACAACTTTGAATTGCTAGCAGATATTGTTGTGGGAGTTTATTTTGTTATGTGGAGATTAAGGAGATAAAATCAGTGCAGCAAAAAATACAGAATACAAAGTCGAAAACATTATTTGTTCAAAATTGTAATATACTTTAAAATTTCTGATACATTTATGCTAAAAAAATATTTTCTTAAAAACAAAAATAGCTAAATTTACGATCCATCATACATCTTTAAACAGCTAACCTAAGTTAAAAATCAAATTGGGTATTGTTTTGTATTACTGTATGTCAGGTTTTATGCAATGAATACAAACAGAAACCCTTAAATATTAGTTTTAAATAACTTTAAATATTAGTTTGTAATTCAGATAAAAAAAAGACTTGCAGTACTGAAAAATCTCTTATTTAAATTTAAGAAAATAATAAAAAAATGAAAAAAACGAGATTGAAAAAAATGATGTAAAAAAACACATCAATGATAAAATGTTGAAAAATGTCTGATATATTAACTGAGTAATAAAACATTATATTGTGAACCAAATTGTAATACAGTTTATTCAACAATGACATCAAACTTTTTTTTGTCCATGGTCGATTAATTAATTGCAATGTTAAATAGATCAACAGCGTTTTAACCTCAATGTATGGGGCTGAGATATAAGACGGGTTCAAAAAACTTACAATGACATATAGAAATTAATTACTTTATGCCAATAAAAAAAAAATCTCTACCGAATACGTTATGATCAACATTTTAACTTAAAAATATTTTACTTGTAAGCAATTTGTTTTAAAAAGGCATAAAGTTGTGATAAACTTACATAATCTCGAACCACATCTTTGATGAAAAAATAAATCCATTCTTTTTTTACTTTCTCATTACAAACAGAGTAGATCATAAATATAAAGAAACCTTGAAGAGAACTGAAAACACAAAATAACCACTGAAATACGTTTTTTACTTTTCCTACAGCTAAAACTGCAAACTAATATGTTGAACCAAGCAACAAAGAGCACACAAATGCAATTTTTGCTGTCTTTTTTTTTCTAATTTTATTGTTAACTTCAGAACTGCTGTTTAAACTTCGGAGAACAAATGCAAGAATTAAAGTATTGCTTGCCATCACTACACATACACGCATAAGTAAACCAAAATAAAAAGGAAAGCCATGAACAACACATCTGAAACAAAATTTTATAGTTAACTGAAGCAAATAATTATGTACAAGGCAAGAGTTGATCTATAAGAATTATTTTTCTTAATAATATATTTTGAATG